TCTCAACTGCAAACTGGCACATTGTCAGAATAACGTTTCTCGCACCCCACGTGCTGAAATTGCTGCCAATTATCTGCCACAATGTCCTCAGCCCGAGAATGGAAGATCAAGCATTGCTGCAGCATGTTGCGCCTTTGCTTCTCCGTGGCCTGGATATTCAGCTGCAAGCGTCGCCAGTTGTACTCGTGCTCGGATGCTTTGAGGAACACTGTCGGAATCGCAATGGCGGTCAGGACCCACCTTTGAAACCATTTATTTCGAAGTCCATACACAATAACATAAATTTTGGTGGCTATGATTGTGATGTTGCAGCAGCACAGCGTCAGGACACTGATAAAGTTTACTATTGCTCGACACAATCTGAAATTGCGGGCCAGGCCCAAGGCTCTAATCAAATTGGTTGTATGGGACTGTTTCCGTGGGGCTTCGGCTTACAATGCTCTACACTTATGACGGCGAAGCATTGGAAGTGTAGGGGAGCCATCCATTTATTTAAATGATTTAAATAAGGATAATAATACAAAATGAATACGAACCAAATACAAACGAAAATATGATTTTATTTTGTACGATATAGAAATAGGGGAAGAATACGAACCAGCTGGGAAACAATAAAGAAAAAACGCAGAACATGAAATGCCCGCGCAAATAAGGGACATTTTCGTTACACGTTTTGTTCGTGTATGTTTTACACCATGTTGTCTTAATAAGTCTCTTGTGGTGGGGCCAAAACTGACTTATTTTTCGTCCTAGGTGTGTCCTATTTTTCCTATTGTTTTCGTACTTATTTCCTACTATTTTCGTATTCATTGCCTATTCTCCAATCGTATTCATTTCGTATTTAGTTTGTATTATATCCCTAATTTAATAAACTGATAGATCTGGAACACTTCCATATGCTTCGCCGTCTTAACTCTACACTCTCAGTCTACAATCTACAATAATAGTTTCTCACAGCCTTCGTCTCACATCTCAGCATGCACTTCTTACCTCTCACCTTATTTGCTTTTCGAACCCCACCCGAAACGGTGCTTTATGGTGTTGGCTGGAATTGGGGGCAAGTTCGGTTGCCGTGACACGAGAAGGACCAGAAAGATCAGGAGAATTGCCTTTACTTGTTAAGATCAGTGCAAAACTTGCAAATGAAACACCGGCCTCACCGGGACCCCGGTGTTTCGGAATTTACTTGTTGGAAACCTCTCAAGGAAGCCGGGGTCGAGGGTTTGGTACTGG